CAAATTATCAGCACCAGAGAAAATTAGCACAGGCCTAGGTAAAGAAAAATGGGTCAGAACTTAAAAAAAAAAAAAATCAGGCAGGCTATAAAAGCATTTAGGGCTGGATCATAACTTAATCACATGTGTACCGTTAGTGACCAGCAGAGTATGTGGTACAAAGAAAAACAATACTATATGAATACCTTAAAATCTATGCTTTTTTCTATAGTTGAAAAGATGACCATTACTTCTATGTGGTATTTATTCAATCTATGGATAGAATTGTACTAGCAAGAGTAGTTTATGAAGTGAAATTTTAGCAGACTTTCAAATTCATATTTGGGAGTTAAAAGGTATTAGAATAGGAAAAAGAAAGCCTAGACTAGCACAACCAGATGTTTGTACACAGCGGTATTATAGGCAAATGTTCTTTACTGTGAATGATAACCTTTCCCAGGGAAAGCTAAATTAGTTATGACAGATTTTTTTTTTCCCTACCACTGGCTGAATCACACTGGGATCATATTGTTCCCGTGTCAACTACCTTTCAAAAAATTTAAAGCATGATAGGAATGCTCTACTCCTGTATAATTCATTATAAAATTGTCAGGATTGTAAAAGAAAAGCAAAACTGTTTTGGACTCACTTTTTGTATAAATGTTGGACTTTAATGTCATTCACCAAGATAAATATTACTCGTTCATATTCAAATATGGGTAATTCTATTTGAAATGCAGAACAGAATGCCAAGAAAGAGAGGGGATAGGGAGGAGTATTCACTTATTATAATATTGGAAATTGAATCCAGGGCCTCATGAGCTCTACCACTGAACTATATCCCGAGCCTATATAAAATAATAATTTAAATTTGGACAGTTATAGATTATCTTTCACCCAAGTTTGAAATTTTAAAAGTTACACAAAATGACTAACTAGGAAAAAAAAAAACTATAGTTCTTGATATCATGGATAACTGTTTCTCTATAGTGAGCTGGTGTGAAATGCTTTGACCCTTGGGCTCTAATGCCTGGCACTCAATGTGTGGACTGTAAATACTCGGTGAAATTATTTGCTTGCTTTTATTTTTCAGACTCTTGGACTCGGGGACATGATTTTCTTGTGAAAGCAGACACAGACATTTAAGTAGGTTGTGAGTAATTTGGTACATACTGCTTACATAACTGGTAGGTCTTTCCTAGCTACACCATGTGCTTCTGGAAGGCTGGGATGCTTAGGAATTTTTTAATTCTTCATATGCTATCTGACCATGGAGTAATTGCTCCTGAATATGTGATCAATACATTTATCAGAAAGAAAAAAAAATCCCCTATGAAGGACCATGAAAAGTCAGTTATCCCAATACATCGTTTTTTACAGATAAACCTAACAGAGCTCAGGGGAGTTAAGTAAAAATGATTTGTGTAACATTACAAATATCTGGAGCTAATAAGGTCTATCATCTGCCTCCACAGGCGACTTATGGAAAACATGGAGCTATTAGGTCAGCATCTGACTAGATAGCTTAGACAAATTAACTTAGGCAATAAATAAAGTAAAACAATGTCCCATTTGGACAATATACACCCAACCAGATATAATTAACCAGAAATTGCTATAACCATACCCAGAAAAATTGGTTACATGTGTAGTATGTAAATACAAAGAAAGGGCTAACTAGTCACCTTCCATTTAGATATATCTATGGGTAATATCTAAAACCACAAAACAAAAACTATGAAAGAGCAGTATAAGCCAGTATTTAAAGTAGCTGTTTAACTATGGTCAAGGACCTTTGGGGTGAGGGTGGGGGTGTCCATAAGGTCAAACTATTTCCATAATAAAATACTGACACTGCTTCACTTTCATTCTTACTGGTATGCAGTGCTTTCCAGAAGCTAAACATGTGATATCACAATAGACTGCTATTGAGCTATTCATTAAAGAACACTCTAAAAATGTAAAACAATGCTTAGTCTTTAAATCATTTTGGTTGCTTAGAAAATTTTATTATTCATAAAAATGTTATTTATGGAGGCTGGGGTTGTGGCTCAGCAGGACAGTGCTTGCCTTGCATGTGTGAGACACTGGGTTCAATCCTTAGCACCACATAAAATAAACAAAATAAAGGTATTGTGTCCATCTGTAACTAAAAAAAAAAAATCAAAAAATGTTATGTTAACATACTAAGGCTTATTATTATTTTAAATATGTTAAGTTGTAATACAGAAAATATCAAGATATATAATCTGCATAAGGCAAAAGCTCTGAACAATTTTTAATATAAGGAGTTCTGAGACCATAAAGTTTTGAGAACCCTGATTTAGAGAAATACGTAGCTCAGATCACCATGTATGGTCTGGGCAGGTTGTTTCTTTCACACAGATGCTAGCTAAGGGGATCAGAGGGGCTTGTCAAATCCACCCAACTCTATTCACCAAAACCCCAGAGAGGATACTTTTTTCTAATTTTCTCAAAAGCAGAATATGGTTTAGTGGCCACCCTGGAAGCAGAATACAAGAAGAAGCTAAGGAGTAAACATGATTCCTCTAATTAACTTAAGGGCTTAGAAATTAGAACAGTGATTGTTTCTAAGGAGAGAGGATGACAAACTCTAAGAGTATCAGATACATCTGAGTTGACAACAGTGTTTTATCTTTGTTTAGTTCAGGTGTAATTTAAAATTATCTAGCTAGACACTCAAGATCTGTGCATTTTACTATGTATAACGATATTATGATTTTTTAAAAGTATGTTCCTCTGAGGTAGGACAGGACTATTTGCATTTTAAAACTAAGTGTTAACTTTGGTAAAACCCAAAATTGAATTTTAAAAATTATATAAACACCTATTATGTAGGGAAGAAAAACAGTTTTAAATCCTAAGGGTTTTTATGTTGCAGGAATGAATCCTTGACAGTACTGCTTCCTCAACAGCACACCTCATTCAGTGAGGGCACTGAACAAAAGGGAGAAATATCATTCATTTGATTTTCCCCATCAACTATTTAAAAATGTACAAATCATTCCTACTTCACAGGCTATGGGAAAACAAGCATTATACCACATTTGAACACATGGGTCATAACTTTCCAGCCTGCTTTTTACTTTAAAAGGAGACTGTAAAATAACGGCCCAGTGTTTCTGGCTAACTTACTGCACGAATTCAAGTAAAATTCCTGATTTCTAGCTCACTTTTAAAAACTGGAGGATTAGACTGGGCACAGAGGCACAGACTGCAAATTCAAGGCCAGTATGGGCTAGTTAGCTGGATCCTCTCTCTCCACATTCCCCTCCCCACTCTCCTTTAAAAAAAAAATATTATCATTATTATTATTATTATTATTGGTAGCACTGGAAATTGTACACAGACCCTTGCACATGCTAGACAAGCACTCTATCACTGAGCTATACAGCCCCAGCCCAACATAAAAAATTAAAAGGGCTGAGGAGTACCTAAATTCTACTTCAGTACTGCAAACAAACTGGAGGATTGAAAAACAAACAAATGAAAGAAAAAGCTGGAGGAATATTGGGTTAAGGGTGGACTTCAGGGACAGAATGCAGTCTTAGTGTGTGGGAAGCCCTGAGTTTAATCTTCAGCACCATAAAAACTGGAAGACTGAGTATAAAAAAGAAAACCAAGAAAATTCTAACTTGTTTATATGGAAAAAATCATTTTGTTAATTCATCTATTTGGGCATAGGAGCACTGAGTGTACCATCTCTGCTTAACATGTTTAGCAATGCCCTAGTCAAAACTTAAGCTTGGGAAATTTTATGTCCTAGTAGTAAAATAATAGCAATGAAAAAATGAATTGAAGGAGAAAGCTATAAAATGTAAGATGAAAGACTAAAAATGATAATGCAGACCTAAACAGACTGTCTCTCAAAATTGTTTTTCCCAGCATAAAGATGAGGTCTTCTTTTATATGTTGCAATGATTCAAGAGGTTTAATTAACAACACAATTTACCATTTTTTACCATTTGGGTTTTTTTTTTTTAGACTGGGAATTGAGCTCTGGGTGCTTAATCACTGAACCACGTTCCCAGCCCTTCTTTTTATTTTTTATTTTGAAACAGGGTCTTGCTAAATTACTGAGGGTCTTACTAATTCACTGAAGCTGGCTTTGGTCTTGCAGTCCTCCTGCCTCAGCCTCCTGAGCCCCTGGGATTACAAGCATGTGCCACCATGCATAGCACAGTTTTAAACAGTAATATAACATTTTAATTATAGATAAGTTGAGAAAAATTTAGATTTAAGCTTAATTTTTAAACTTATTCTGAAAAAAAACTTGATGTATAATTTTGGCATTAAAGGTTAAATATTTAAATGTGTAAAAACCCACCCAAACTCCTTGCTCCTTAAAGTATGGAATTCAACTATGCCAAAAAGGTTTGTGTAAATATTTGAAATTTTGGAAGGATTAAGTATCTAACACAATGCTTAGAGTCAATTTTCCAAATAAACTTCCAGATATGTTACTTTTAAGTGGTATTTATAAACAGCAAATTTTATTTCAATGTTAATTTCTCTTGTCATATTTATATTAGCTCTAAGTCAAAAAATTACTGCTGAAAACTTATCAGGATTAAAAGATAAAAGCATTAAGTAAAAAAAAAAAATCAGAATATCTATCATACAAAGAAAGGGTAATTTTCTCATTTCTATAACTCAAGATTCAAATTTTTCTGTTTAGGATAAAGAGTCCATGTTCTCAAAATGTACAATTATAGAAATACTGCATAACCAATCAATCAGATTTAAAAATCGGTAATTACTTAATCTTGTTCATTCAATTGTTGAATGAGATTATATTAATTTCCTTAAAGCTGTTAAAAACATATCTCAACTACTGATTAAAGGGGATAATCACAATTAAATGGAGATTTTAAAAAACGATGTCCTCAGAATAATATCTGTAAAAGTAATTTTCAGTTGTCTATTTGGTAAGACTTTCATTGTTAACTTTCTGCAAAGAAGAGGGGCTGGCAATAACTACATTTATACATTACACAAGCTTAAAGTACAGTTTCATTGTTTATTTTCTAGATCATTTACACAAAAACCACCTCAGTTCACATTCAGAATAGTTAAATCCTTTAATAGACAGTAGTTATGGCCTGAAGTCCTTTGGTGTGAAAGTCCTTAAGCTCAATAAAAATAGCACATTTGCCAAAAAAGTTTAAGAGAGTGAATTCATTTGTCCTAATTGAAAAGATAAATTTATTTTTCCTGGATCTCCATTTACATGATGGTATACAAAACAGCTCACAAAGCTTCAGTTAAAACAGGAACTCAGAATTTCCTTTCCGGGGGGAAAAAAAAATGTGGCTTTTGAAGAGACACTCAGTTATCTGTGATAAAGAAAATGTCCCACAATTAGATTGGTATATTTTTTTTTTCCTATGGACAAAAGTCAAGCCTTAGCAATGCATAATAAGCACTTCCTAAATTAAATTCTAAATAAGCCTGTGCCAGAAATGTGTTCATCATTTCTGGTTAAACACACACACACACACACACACACAACAAAACAAAAAACAACTTCTACTCACATAAACCTCTTATACAGCAGAATTGAATTCCGTGAAGTCTTACTGGCTGATTATGCCCAGGATAGTACACCAGCTTGTCTATCTGGGAAGACTACAATCCTGGGAGACCTTCTGGCAGGTATCTTGCCCTCCGATGGCATGATATGCAACCTCACCCACACTCAACAGCAGCAGTGTCCAGCTGGGGATGAGTACCAGGAATGCAAACACAGGAGGTTTTGCCAAGGCACTTGGGACACACAGAGGCAATTCATTTATCTCCCAGCACTGAATCCTCACTTCAGATATCGACACCATCCATGGAGACCAAAATGTAATGACTATAAAAGTTTTACTGGCCAATGTTTGCAAACACAAAATTATATAACTAGGTAATGATATGTATTTGGTTAAAGAGAATTAAGTTTCCAATTCCTTTTCTTAATACATCTCAGTCCTATTATGCATTTTATGATCCTCCCTCAACCCCACAAAACCCATAAAAAACAGAAATCACTACCATAAACAATAAGCTGTATTATGAAATCCTTCAGTCCTAATTGTGCAAATAGGTATAAACAATTGTGCAAAAAGTATAAACAAGTAGGGTCCAAACAGCCATTTTGTGATGGGTAACTCAGAGCTTGGTTGTCTTTCGCTTTCTCTCATGCTCCCTTCCTGCCCCATTTTCTCTCCTATACAAGCACTTTATTTCTCTTTCTTTTAAAGACGTCTACGGACTTAGCAGGCAACACTCTGCATCAGCAAAACTGCTTGTGGGGATAACTAATGAAGCAAACGTAGGCTTTTTCAGGGCCTGATATTGGGAAAGAGGTTTCATAAGCAGGCATCGCAACAAAAGAGTTGTTGACAACTTGTCTGTTCTACAGTGAGGTAACCAAAAATGAAAATTTGCTTTATTACATAATTTCTTTATTCATCTCCTTTTTCTTCAGCCACTGCTACTTCAGATGAGGGAGGAATGTAACATGTTAAACATGGAAAGGAAGAAAGGGAACAGTCTAGTTAGAGTGAGGCAGTAGTTGTTATTTTTCACAATTAAAACAATTTAATTCTTGCCAAAATAAAATTATGCAATCCTAACATCTCCATAGAATTTTAAAAACTGGAAGAATCCTTACAGACCATCTGGTCCTACCCTATCTCACAGACAGGAAAACTAAAATTTAAGCCCAAGATCAAGCAGTTATATAATGACAAAACTGGGGCTTCTGCTTTAGTACATTCAGAATTTTCTTTGATATACCATATACAAACAATTCTCCAAGGTTCAAAGCTACAGACATAAAATAAATGGATTGTTACCTACAATATAAAATGTGTTTATCATTTCAAAATCATTTTTTGTCACTCAAAACGAATTCTATAGATTCTTTGGTGTTTCTATTCCTCCAAGAGCTTTGTGACCACCAAGCCAGGTACAGGAAGGTGAAAACAATTAACAGGAAAATTTAGGGGAAGAGAAAAAAAAAATGCAAGCTACTTGATTGAGATAATCAATAGAAATAGCTGCTGGGATTAACAGCTACTGAAAAGACAAGGCTGAAACCATAATAGAGCAATGGAACTGCTTCTGGAGGGTAGTTCTCCCCCTGTAGAGAGGAAAACAGCAAAAGACAGGAGCAGTGTAAAAGTATTGGAATGCATGTTATATAAGACAGCTGACTAGAGTGATCAGAATTCTTGTGGCATAAGGTAGTAGAATCTGCAGTTTAAAACCAGAACTCCAGATGATACCAGGGCAACTGGTCCTCAAGAGCACGTTTTGAAAAACACTAGTAAATAGATACTGTGGTCTAGGAGGGTTAAAAGGTATTAAAAATTCTTACTTGGGTAAAAGGTATTAAAAATTCTTACCCGGGTGTACTAGTGTTAACTAGCCTCACTAGATCCTCTCAACCAAGCAGGCAAAGGAAATGCCCCAGGCAAAACACATTAGGGCTAATTCCGTTCCCAGTCCAGGCAGTCAGACAAGGTGGTTGCCACACAGTCACCCGCAAGGAACAAGAGAACATTATGTAATCACTGTCCCAGCTTTAAGATGAAGAGATCAGAAGTTCTCTCTCAATTCTGTCATTAAGTAAGGTCTCCCTTAATCTATTAAGAGACTGATTATAAGAATCCTACTTTTAATGTAGAGAAATATTTTGTTACCCAGTGAAGAAAAAAGTCTTTCAGCTTATAGGTGGGAAAAGAATTCATTATTTTTCTATCTACCAATGAATCTGTGACTAACATGTTGGTTATAAAGGAAAAGTCTCTACTAGTTCCAGTATTTTTCTTTGAATATAGGGATCTGAGAAAATAAGAAATGAAAAACAAAGTACAGAGCTGTAAATGGTTACTTTTAATAGCTGCAATAACCACAAAATTTAAATTAGGATGAATTTGTGAGAAAGTCTAAGAACTGAAAATAGGGCCACTAATTCACAAAGAACAAAAACTGTCAGAAGTCAGACTTAAAGCTACTCAGCAAATTTAATTCTGATGTTTGTCCAGAGTTTCAAATCTTCTTCACTACAGTGGAACAGAGAAAAGCTATATGAAATGACATCATCCAATGCTTTCTCCTCTTTTTTTTTTTAATGGGAGGAGTTATATTTGTTTATAGGATTTAAAAATTACATACATATGTAACAGCATTACAAATATATATTTGAGGTTGTTCTGACTGGGTACTTGAATATTAATCTATTTCAGGTACCATGTATGTTAGATTAACAAAGAGCTAAGATAATTTGCTACTGCAATTTTTCTCTGTGCATTCCAAACATTTTCTTTTAAGACCAAGACTGTTTGCAATGGATTCAGGAAAACAATACTAATACCAAAACCAAAACCTTTAATCCTTTTAGGGAAATCAGTTCACTGTCCTATTTCAAGGCAAGACAAGTCATTTAAAAACCAACCCCAGTTATTTCTAACTACAACATTGCCAGAAAATAAGTACAGGCACATACAGATTATCATTATATTCTCAAAAATTTTATAGTATATTAGTGGCCCATTTTTCAGTAGTAATTTTCATTAGACCATATCAAAATTCTTATTACTCAGAGTTGGCACACAAGTCAAAACTAAAATTACCCTGCTAAGTCTTGAAGAGCGCTAAGGAAAAATAAACTAAGCAACATAACTTGTACAGTTAATTTCAACCGTACTGAATTTTGCAACCTAAAAGAAGATCTAGTAGGAAGAGGCAAAACTTCTGAGAAAATCATATTCATATTTAAACCACTAAAAGTTAATAACGGCTCCACTTGTGATTTTTACTTAGGGCCGAAGGGGGAACTTTATAAAACGAAGGAAAATTTTAAGGAGCTGGAGACAAATTTTTTTGGTTTCACTTTGCACAAGAGGCGCTCACAAAGACACTGATAAAATATTGAAATGTCAACTGCTGGTTTTACACTTACATCCACATAGTCATTACTGACCTTTACCTGGAATATAGTTTTAATTATCAAACCAACAGCCAGAACCTACTCCTAGCGGACTATCGCCTCACCCCCTGCTCCAGACCCCACGGTGAAGTTCACCTGCCAACACCGAAGAGCCGTGGAAAAGGAAGGTAAAGAAGAAAACGCTTTTTTAAAAATTAAGACTCTTGCAGTTGCTGGACTTAGTCCAAGTGCTGTTCAGCCTGGAAACGAAAGTAGGAAACAACAGAGGTTTAGGCTTGGAATGATGTCAGCCATTTTAGGCTCATTATTTATACTGGGAAGGGGAAGTGCCAAACTCGGCGGAGCTTGTTTTGCCTGTCGCAGCCGGTCCCAGGTGGAACCAGCCAGCTCCCGGCCCCGCGCACATCCCAGGACCGCACAAGTGGGGGGGGGGGGGGGACGCGCGCAGCTCCGCAACCCCGCGGGGGGCGCCGCTCGCTGCACACGCACCTCGGTACAAAGAAGGAACCGCGGCCGCACCGCGGGGGGAGCACGGGCTCTCCCGGGGTCCCCCACCCTGCGCAGCTGCCCCGCGGGGTCCAGCCCCCGCTCCCCGACCCTCCCGGGCTCGGACCTTGCAGTCCACCGCGACGGCGTCGGGGGGAATGATGAGCGCCTCCTCGCCGCTCTTGGGATCGTCCTTCTTGGCCTCCTTCTGGGCCAGAGCCGAGTTGAACGTCACCTTCACCATGGTGCGGCCTGGAGCGCCCTAGGCCGGCGGCGAAGAGCTGGAGGCGCGGGCTGCGGGATCCCGGCTGCAGCTGCAGCCTCCTCGGCCGGGCTCCGAGCGCGACTCAGAGGCGGCTGTTGAAGCTCCGGCGGCTTTGCAAGGGCTGAGGCGGCGACTAGCTCCGCTCTCGCAGCCTCCCAGCTCTGGCGCGGGGGCGGGCGGGGCCTGAGGTCGGGAGGGGCGGAGCTGGCGGGTGGATGGGCGGGGCCTGAGGACAGGGGCGGGGCCGAACTCTGCGCCAGACCCTGCCCAGGCCCCCAAACCGCGCGCAGAACCCTACCCGTCGCGCTGGAGGGGTGTACCTAGGGGAGGGCAGGTGGCTTCTCTAGGTCGCCTGGATTTTCCGGTTCTGATTTCGCTTTCAACCAGTTTACCTCCAGGCCCAGTGTTGGCAGGTTGGTGGCAAAATCGGGTGAACTTTTGTGGTTCGCCGCACACAATGGGTTAACCTCTAGCAGCACTAAGGCCGCCTCTTCCTTGCCCGCTGCCGCCACCGCGAACCTAAAGGCCAAGGAATTCTTGTGTTAGAAAGATCTCCATTTTTGCAATTTATTAGAGAACCGTTTCACTACAGCACAGAAATGTTCAAAGCTCTGTATTTGTGATCTGATTTTATCTTCCACAGACCTCGCCCAAGGGCGTTGCCTGACTGACTTGTTTCTCCCCTCCCTGGGGAGGTCATTGCCTGCCCTGCCTAGTCCCAGATCAGTTCGGATGAATCCTCTTAGCAGATTTGTATTTTGAACATCTCATACTGGTAAAACAAAATGTTCCTCTCTTGTGCAGGCTTGGAACGAGCCCATGTGAACACTGGACTGATTTGTGATTCAAAGCAAGGTACTCGATGATTAGTCCTTTTCTGCAAAGTGAAAACTGCTCATTTTAAGGCTAAAGCAAAATTCTCATATTTTGAAGAAGTTTCATTTACAGCTGAAACCTCTGTAGAGAGGGAGGATACTGGCCTGTTACTGTTTGTGGGTTTATGACTGTGTCACAGATGGCCCTTTGGACAATGGTTGATTCTGTATCCTTCTCCCAGTGCACTCTCCTGGTTCACCCCAGACTTGTGGCTGTGCTCTGCAAGATTCCAGCTGTGTCAACTCTGGCCTGGGTCAACCCTGAGAAAAGTAGGTTGAGTCTGAGGTCTTTGAGGATTTGACTGCTGAATGAGAGACTTAGGTATCTTAGATCTTTCATAGAAAGTCAGATCACAAATCCCCAAGAAACAACCCAAGGTTACAAATTTCAGAACATCTTGGACTGAGAAAGAAACCCAGGCCAGACTTGGAGCCATCTTGGGTATTCTGAAAGAATTAAGTGTTCAATAAGAGTAGGAGTTGGGTTCCACTTGTAATGAGATTTAACAGAAGCTAGCCATTGAGTTGGAGCAACTTATTTAAACTCCCTTGGTTGTTCTCACTTGGCCAGATGTCAACTCTGGTGTTCACTTTGTGAACTGGCATTTGGTAGTAAAAGTGGAATCTAATTCATCAAAGTTAAGTACTGCTAGCATCTCCTAGTTTTGCAGATTTCCTGAGACATGCCAACTGAAGACCAAGGAATTCTGGAAGCAAGATCTGAAGGATTATAATTATACATATATCAATCTGTGAGAAGACACCATTACAAGTTAGTTTAAGGATCTTAATTGGCTTTACTTTCAATTCTAGAGTTGAGCAACATTTCATTCCATAAAATAGAATAAGTTCCAATGAGGACCACAGAGGAGGTTAGTTTACAGATGAAAAAAAAAAAAAAAAAAAAAAAGCAGGGGGTTGGGAATACAGTTCTGTGGTACAGTACTTGCCTATCATGCAAGAGGCCCTGGGTTCCATCCCCAGTATGACAATAAAAAAAAAAAAGAAGAAGAAGAAGAAGGAGGAGGAGAAATGGGTCATTTCAAAGTCACAGGGACAAAGGGACAGAACAATAGAAAAATAACTGGTTAACATCAGTTTACTTCAGCTTACCTTCTTTGTGTGTAAAGATTAAGGCAAAGGGACTTCACTATCATGCCTATTAGGAAGCTTGACTATTACCTCTCTAATCCTGACTTCTCTTAAGAACAAATAAATACCTTAGTTTCAGCTTGCTGACATGAAGCTTTAAGCATGAGAGACACCGTTTTGACTTTTAGCTTGGTCTGCTGGGGTCTACTGCAGGAGCTTAGTCTAAGACAAAGGCATACTGTAATTCTTATTTAACACTTCTAGGTCTATGTTAGAATGAAATAGTAGAAAAGTACCCAAGGCATCTTATAGTAAAGAGAATTAGAGGGAAAAAAAAAATTCTTCCTGAACAACACTATTAAACAGATGAGGAAACTGAGGCAAACGAAGAACAAATGAGGTGGACAGAACCAGAAATCCTCCGTGATCCCAGGATCAGATGCCTGAATGGGAGACCTTTCATTATGTTGTGTACTAGCAGTGAGCAACAGTTTAAAATCAGTTGGCAAACAGTCTGGAATAATCTCCTGGTTTTGTTTCTCTGTTTTATCTGGTGTGTCTAGAGAGCTGTGTAGTGCACAACAGCCAGGATAATAAAGAAACTGGATCAAGACCAAACATAGCAAATCCAGTCTCGTGATTTATAAAAGGTTGCCCGTTGACCCTGGAAACCAAGGAGTTGGGGAGGAGGAGACTTGGTGACTCAACAAAAAAGTTAAAAACATAGTCATAAGTTACCATTAACTATCAAATATAAAGGAAGTCTTAGAAAAACTTTGTTTTCCTTTTTCATGTTGATTTTGAGAGAGCCAGAAAAAAAATCTGTTTTTCAAGTGAAACTAGCTTTAGATTTCACTAGGATCTGAGCTTGTTTTTCTACTTAACTGAAAAAGAAGACAAAATGGAATTGGGGAACTAAATTCTAGAATCATAGTTCATTTAGATTTGTGTGATATGACTGGACATGGGTTATTATTGTTATTTTTATGTTCTTTACATTTCTGTTTCCTCTGTTCTTTCTCAAGGAAGCAATTCCTTCTTCAGAGAAATTTCTTGAGGTTTAGCAGAATGAATGGAAAACATTTTTTTTTTTTTGCAAATATAGGGTCTTTGGTGAAACAACATGACTGAATATGCCCTTTGAAATGTACTCTTGACACCTCCCCTATAACCCAATGTGTGGTTTTTAGCTAGGCATCTTGTGGCTTTGTCTCCACTTTCATAAGGGAAGTGTTCCTTCTAGGGGAGAGGGGAAGGCTTCCACTTGCCTCTTCACACTTTAGCACTATTTTTCTGTTCTTCATAACTTTGGGCATCCTTTATTGCTTCTAAACTTCTTACCTCCCAATTTTATATTTATCCTCCACCTTCTAGCTCAATAGTATTATGCTTTTCAATTACTTTATCATATCAGTTATTTAAATTCAATTTTAAAATAATGATAATAAGTTATCATTATTTTCCTTAATGGATGGGCTAGATCAGTTTTTTTCTTAGAATCTTGGGCTACAATATTTAAGTCTGTTGAGAATTGTCCTAACAATGATTGCAGATCTCTTGATGTTTTGTTTGATTGTGAAAAAAACTGGATCTGTGGGTGATTCAGTCTTCTAGTTGTGCTCTCTTGGTTTCCCTCCTTCAGAGCAGGGTTTTTCTAAGAGCATTCCTGTTTAGAATACGTTTCTTCACACTAAAAAGGGGAGAAGAAAAGGGAAATGGTGAGAAACAAACAAACCAAAAGAAAAGAGTGAAATCAAAAGAATGAGAGGATGAGCCAAACACTAGGAGAAAATATTTGCCAAAGATATATTGAATAAAGGACTTGTATCCAAAATACACCAAGAACTCTTAAAACTGAACAATAGGAAAGCAATGACCCCATTAAAAACCAGGCAATCTCAATAGATACCACCAAAGAAGATATTCAGTTCAGATGGAAATA